TTCTGTATTATAATTTAACTGTAAAACCGTCACTGTCCAACGCAGCTGCAGCCACCGTATGTTATCAACCCACTGTCAGATTTACCGGCCTCAGGCGGCCAGGCGTGGTCTCTCATTGCCCGACGCTTTGTCATAAACTTACAATCGGCCCCTCACGCTGAGGACGGGCCGTCATACTTCATTCTCATGTCGTTGTTGTTAGTCCCCCAAATAAATGTATACAGCCAAAGTTGACCAATGGGTAGGCCTAACAATGAATTTTCAACTGCTGGTGAGGGAAGCGCGATCCGTCATAACCTATAAGCCCCGCCCACAACTCATGCACAAATCGTGTGTGAGGTGACTGGTCACTGTTTTGTTTACCTAATCTCTAAAAAGCTAAGTAGATCTAACAATGGACGTTGACGGGAACTTGCTACAGAAGCGTTGCTCGTTCTCCGAGTGGAGGCGAACCGTGTGTTTGTTTTATCATGGAATTCGGTCTTCATTGTCTTATTTACATAATATTTCGTTTATTTTACCTATACACGGAATAAGCAACAAAAAGAAAACTTACCAAAAAACAAACCAACAAAACAATACAAAAAAAAAACACCTTCTTACACCACCCTTCCCACTTTTTCAAAAGAAAACTAAAACCCTTTTGAATTAGCCTTAGTCCACTGTCCAGACGAAATAACCCGTCACTAATTGCAACAGAAATAATTTCGATGCGAAGTGGTAGAAAAGGGTGTTTTGAACACCCACCATAAATTATACCTCTTTAGAGTCTGGCTTTTCTGAGATATTGGTCATTTTCTACTGACCAATTTCTGTTCTAACCCTCGAGGGTTTCCATAACTAAACAGACGTTTTCGCTGGTTTACATCCGGGCATTCCACGGGAAGTGATAAACTTTTTACCGCAAACAGAAATTCTGTTGCAATTAGTGACGGGTCAAGGTGATTTTTGTGCTAGGGACAGTAGCCTACCTTACGACAATCCTAATCCTGAGATCAGCCCCGATTCGGACCTCGGAAGAGAATGATATACTTTCTTCATTTGATCAGTCCTGCCTAAGACGGCCACCTATGTTATACGGCCGTCACTTTTCTTCATGACAATGGGTGGCCGTTTTACACAGGGTTGACTGTATTATGCATTATATATATATAATGTAGTATGTTTTGTATAAACACAAAGGACTATAAGCAACCCTCCTGTGTGAACCTGGTCAATATCAGGAATATTTTGGAGTAGCTAGCTAAAAACTAACAACAACAACAACAACAATAACAACAACAACAACAACAACAACAACAACAACAACAACAACAACAACGGGAGGCTCTTGTGGCCTAGAGGTTAAGATGTTCGCCTCTCATTCAAAGGTCCCGGGTTCGAATCCGGCTGGCGACGGAATTTTTTTTCTCTAAAATCGTCTCCTTTCTCCTCCTTTCCTACCCTCTTGCAATGTTCTATCGTCTGTTTTCGACTAACAACCTCTCCTGGACTAGACCCACCGTATCAACCGTTTCTGGGCGTTCCTTGGCCTGGATTGACTACAATGACATTGTACCTGAGTTTAAAGAGATTGCAAAATGTCAGAGGGTTAAAGGTGAACAGATCAGTCCGATTGCCCCCCCCCCCCCACCCCTAAACCTCCCGCACCCGATAACATCCTGCATCCTCGTACACGTCTGTTTTTCTCGACTAGTGTCTATCTTAATTCAGACCTCTTTAAAAAAACAAAAAACAAATCAGAAAACAACTGGTAAGTGTTTTACGGCGCTCGCAACTGCATAAGGTCTTATGAGCGCGCGGGACACATTCAGCATCTTCCGTTTGGTAGGAATTAATTTTGAATTTTGCCCGGGTGGCGGCCGAAGCATTCACGCCTCAGCGACCTGGAACAGAGAGTAAATCTGGTGTGCGCCTCAGAAGCGGCCCCCATGTGATTTTGCGACATACTAATATAGTGTAATATATAGTCATAATATAGTGTAAAGTGCATGGAGCCTGCTGTTGAGCGGGGATATGCGCTATACAAATGCTATCTATTATCTATTATTATTATTATTACTTTTATGAAATGCTAGGAATGAAGATGATGATTTATTTTCAAATTTCTGGTCACTCTTTGTGAGGGGTTGGGAATGAGGTTTGTCATCATCGTCGAGTAAACAGTTCCTCTTTTCTTGTTGTGTTTTTCTTGCTTTTCTTGAAATATGTATACCTGTTTACACCATCTCAATACATTTTACGTAACCTACAAATATCGACACCAAAAGCAGGACACGTGGAAAAAAAAAGCCTGGTGTGTGCGCATTTCTTTCTCAGTTTCAACCAGGAGTGTCAAACTCAATTTTGCGGTCAGTCAAATTCAGATAACGCTCAAATAAAACTATAAAGTAGCTGAAGACTAAACATTGTCAGGGGCTAGACGCCTTGCCCTTGGGAAAGGCACTTTACACGAATGTTCCTCACTTCACCCAGGTGAGAAATGGGTACCCAGCTGTAGAAATCGAAAGATCTGGTCAAGATTGTTAGTGTTTGAGCGCCGAAGCGGCTGTTTGCACTGTATGCTTCCCGGGAAGCCGAGAATGTTTTTGAGTCTTATAGGGTCTGCTGGGGTAATAATATAATGTAAAGCACGCAGAGCTTGCTGTCGAGCGGAGATGCGCTATGCAAAGTTTTAATATTATTTTAAATATTTTTCTTCTTCTTCTTCTTCTTCTTCTTCTTCTTCTTCTTCTTCTTCTTCTTCTTCTCATTATTATTATCATTATCATTTTCATTATTATTTTAATGATAGTTGTGTAGTTTAAGAGCTTACAGATAAAATACATAGCAGCATAAAGTTAAACTAAGCACATTTCAAGGCTTTATCCTGTGAATACTAGCCACTGTCACTTACCCTGAGTTTATACCTTTTTAGCAAGTCATGCTATGAAGCTCAAATTCCAGTATATTGATCAGACAGTTGGCGTTTTTCCGTAAACAAGTCCAGTTGGCTGTGTAGAGTGTAGACCTAAAGGCCCAGAGTTTACCTGCATTTGAACTCGTTTCAAGTCAAGCCGATGCGATCTAGAATCAACCACCAATAACTGGGACGATACGAACACAACACTTCAGGAGGGACTATTAAGCCTAACTGCGCAAGAGTGAAAGAATACACCTGTCTCTTATATCCTCAAACCGCAGAACTAGTTTCAGTTTCATTCTCTGTTTACACGGCGTTCACAGAAAGAAGCTACGGATAGGACCGGCCAATAGTAACTGTCAGTTCTGTTTCCTTGATCAGCAAAGTGTTTCTTGGAATTTGGGAATCCGATTCGGTTCATTTTCTATCTGCCATTTTTAAAGACAAAATAATAGGATTGCGGTTTAAATATTAATGTCTCCTTTGAGGACAGGTCGAGTTTTAAGTATCTTTTATGCGTAAGCTTTAGTTAGTTTTACGACAACTATCAGAGTTATGTGGCTTTTGCTTCTTCCGTCGGCCGAGTTTATTCTCAGAAATTTCACGACATGGGCAAGCATTTCACTCTGTGCCCGTGGGTATCAGACCACTACATACTGATGGTCACTTAATTCTTCTTCATCATTATTATTATTATTATTACTATTATTACATGTATTATCATCCTCATCATTATTGTTATTATTATTATTATCTTTATC